ATACCCAAAGCAATTTCTGAACCATGAACAACTATCTTCAGGAACTCTGGGTGGAGGGGGCAAGGTCTCAACTTACAGACAATGCAAGGGAAAAAAGAATGCAATAAATACATTTATCAGTCAATTGTAATACACAGAACATTTATGAAGCAAACTCAATTGATTACTTCAAGTATTCTATAGAGACRATAAAGTGATCAATGGCAAACATCAGGAAGACCATTTGCCARTAACATCCTGCTGAACCAATTTTTAGTTTATTTTTTTTTTAAACATAGGAAGGCCACAGTGAGTAAGGAGCAAATAACCCCCATAGGCATATTCTGACTAAATGCTGAGATACTGCCACAAAATGAGTTTCATGAGTTGCTAGGAATAGTCAATTAGTAAATCTTAAGCTGCACACAGCCTGCCAATAACCCCCGTACCTCCCACATTGTTCTGTATCACTCAAACCATCGTGTCAGCTGTGCTGGCTTGGTCACATCCTAAAGTTAGGACGGGGTGTGAGGCAGAAAGGTCTTACTGAGGACTCCTGGGACCAATGCACCACCTGAACAACCACTCCTGCAGTGGATTCTTTTTCACTATTCTAATAACTTTTCAAGCAAGTGGTTAGTGAGACCTACTTGAAACTGAGGTGTTCCTGCATTTTSAATCCAAACATCAGTCAAAGTTTAGGGCACTCAGGGAAGTTTGGCAGAAGTTCAGGTGTGAACATGAATAGCTATAGAGCTGAACACTATGCTCTGGCCATGCCTATTACATTAAATGCTGCAAAACACACTTGTACCTCTTTCCTGGCCATCTCTTGGAGCCGCCTGGGCAGGCGCTTAATATTGTGACTCATGGCTCGCCTTCGCATGTGCCTAGGGAGGGTCTGGAACACCAGGGAGTTGGAAGATTTCTGTGAAACTGCTTTCAACATGGCATTGATCTCAGCAGCACGAGCTTGAGCAAAGGTAGACACTGGAATGAAAAGAACTGCATCAGAGCATGACAAACAGCAAAAATCCCAAGRAGGATACTGTACATAGATTACAGAATTATTCATAGTACAGTAGTACAATATCTTACTGACATAAAAGCAAGAACTGTACACTATCACTGAAGAAATTTCAATTCTTCAGTTATTCAGACATTTACAGATATGCTCAACCAAACATTTATACATGAATGAATCTGAAAGCTGTGAAATAACCAACAAGTCCTAATTGCATTAAATGCTTCTTAAATTAGAATAGAAATCTTTTCAGGTGGTATTTAGGGAGACAAAAAAACCCAAAACTTTAGCATGAAAAAAAAAATGAAGCAGTAACATWATACAGACTGTTTTAAAATGACCAAATAAAAATCCAGAGCTTGGTGTCATTTCCTGATTATGAAAGTGTATCTACTATCAGAGCACTGCCACATTTTGCAAAGCTAATTTGCTCTCTTAAATAAATGTTCTGTTAGATGAAAAGTTGTCTTTAACTTACRTCGTGAGTGAAATCAGCTTACTGGSTACATTAAAAGCAGATGACTGTCAGTACTCATTTTGCTAGCTAACAGAAACCAAAATGCTTATCCCTCACTATAAGCAGGTGCAACCTCTCCACTCAGAAGCCTGAAAGAACCCATTGAACAACATCTGGTCATTCATTCCAGTTCACAACCATTTCTGTGTTTTGGAGAAAAACAGGAAATACAGAAGAACATAGCATCAGTTCTAATTTTTGCTCTCACACAAAAACAAACACAAATTGCCCTRGACATATAAATTGACCTTTCCACATATACAAACCTGTTATGTATTTTGGCATTTCCTCAGAAACACTCTGGTGTCCTCCTTGCCATGCTCCTCTTCCTCTGCCTCTSTCTCCTCTACTTTGTCCTTTTGAAAAATATTGGTCTTTCCTGTAAGAAGGCCCAGATGMCTGATTTGAAACCTTCTGCTGCTGATGCTGCTGCTCAGAACGAACATCTCCTGGAAGGTTTAGATGAAAAGAGGTTAGAGAAACACAAAGCAATCTGAGTAACCGATAACTCTACAGTCTTTCCTCCTAAAATTTCATTGCAGATTTCTTCTATTATATTTAATATATGTAACTGAGTCACATACATGTAATCAGAAATCAGAAGAATTAACTTCTTTCTTATAGGAATAAATAAGAATTTTACACTRCCCTGCAGCAAGCCTGCAGCAGATTAAGTAACTTTTGCACATTCTGAAAATGTTATCTGATCCATACTTTGCCTCCAAGAGCCCAACTGAAATCAGTCCACAAAACATCACTACTGATATTTATTATTGTCTACTCAGAGTTTTAGTATCTAATCAGCAAAGTTATTTTTCCCTCTTGTCCCTTGACTTTTTTCCTATAAGCAAATGTAATCTTGCCTGCCATATATTTCTGTTACAGCAATAGTTAAGGTAAGCATGATAGGTGTATTTTGGTACAGTAAGTTACTGGCCTGGTACAAACATTTAAACCAATACTGAAATTAAATAACTAAAGCCTACAGTAAAKCTTCCTAAGGTACAGACATACCTTTCAGGAGTGTTAAGCACCTAGTAGTACTTAAAGTTTCAGAGGGTCTTGAAGTCCATATTCAAAGACTGGTGTATATTCAGGCTAACTAATATTATATATTAGATTAGATTACTTTATATTCAGCTAAGTCTTGGTTAGGATTTCTGCTAMAACTTGAAATAAGGTACTCAAGCAGTTCATGCTGGACAACCTGACTTAAAAGGGTCCAGACAGCCATTGCTGCCATCAYCCCATCCACTGCATCATGACAAGTGCTTGAGAGAACATTGGGCAATMCAGTTCAGAGAGCTTCTCTAGTGAAAATCAACCTGTGTGTCAGCAGAAATGGAGTGAAGGATTAAAAAAAACCAGTTTTCAGGTTGATCAGCTTCTTAAACAAGCCTGTCCCTTTGTCCCCAAAATGGCATGAAGAACAGCCAGCARCAGATTCACATTTGCATCAATTTATGTGAACTGGAAATAGCAAAGAACCTCCTTTTTTCATTTCAAATTAGCAAGAAACTGAAGTTTCATGTCCATGTTCATGTTCAGCAGCACTGATGAACTGAACACATCATGCAGAACTGCAGTAATAGAGTCGACAAAATAATTTAGTATGGAAACAGAAATTAGCTTTCATATGGAACAATTCCCTGCCCTGGGTTTCCACATGCCTGAGAGCAGCATTGTACAGACACTGAGGTGAAAGTGAGAAGGAAGTAGCTGGAAAAGAGGGATAGAAGCACAGTCAACAAATCTGTGTAGGCCTACAGCCCAAAATTAACTCATATCACAAACACACCCTTTTGATGGAGGAACTGAAGATTTTTCATTAGAAGATGGAAGACTGTCTGGGAAAACAGTCATTGACTTAATACCTAAATAAAATTTAAATTATTTCAGCTACTCTGTAGATCCATAGTTTTATAACTCCTATTTAGATTTTTTCTTTCTTCTTCCTACAAAATAGCTCTGCAAAACTGCAATACTAACCCTACAGAAAAATGTCACACGGATGAATTTAACAAAACAGAAAAATATAACCACATAATCTTAGAAGTTCCCTGCTACAAGTWAAGTTAGCAAAACGTGTTTAATCTGGCAGTAGCCTGGTAATGACATTCCAAAATCTTCAGACGTGGCTGAGCATAATTTGCTATGTCATTCTGTCTGCTTAGGAACTCTTCAGTTACCTAAATACACAGCGACGCTTATGGGTTTTTTCGTTCAGACACAAAGATGAAATTTGTCAACTTCTGAAGGCCTCACAGTCACAAGCCCTTTTATGTGTGRGGTTTTTCCCAGGAACAATGTAGGTAACAAAATATCTAAACGTGAAGGTGGGGGTGGAAATTCAGGTCCAATTGAAGCACAGTGGATGCAGGTCAAAATACRTAAAGGTAAAAGCTGACACGATCCTCAGTCTTCAGCTGCAAAGGTTACCCGTGTAAAAAATGCTCCWGCAATGACCCAGGACAGTGCCCTTTTAGGGCCGTGCCCTGATGCCTCCTGCCAATACCCTTCCACAGATACAGGAGCCACAAGTTCCAGGAGGCGAACTAGTCGGGCATACAGATCTGAGGGAAAACCAGTGCATTTATCAAAGCATCAGAAGGCTAAACCTGCCCCTTCCGCAGCTCCCGGGTCTGGCAGAAAAGGGAGAAACTGTATGGGATATAACAGCTAAGCTCATTTTACGACTAGGAACCGTAGGGATTTGTTGCGCAATCGAAGGGATGATACAGAGAGGCGCATGTTCACAGCATACAAAATAGTTTGGGTTAGAAAGGGGCTCTGGAGACCACTCAGTCCAACCCCACCACCAAGGCAGGGTCACATAGCGAAGGTTACACAGCAACTCTGCGGAGGGTGGGTTTGAGTCCCAAAGCTGTGTCCGGGTGGGTTTGGAATGACTCCAGACAGGGAGATTCCACAAGTCTCCCATGTCAAAGAGAATGTCATATTAACGGGACTTACGGCAGCACCGGGACTAAAGGAGTCTGCGGCAGGGGACCAAGCCCTGGGTACCCCCACGGCGAGCCCGCCGCGGGCTGAGGAGACGGGAACACTCGGCCCCGAGAGGGGTCACCCTGCCGGCCCCGAGAGGGGCTCCCACAGCCGTACCTGGGGGCGGGAAGGCTCTGCTCCCGCCGCCGGYGAAGGGCCCCGGCTCTGCGGGAAGCGTGACGCTGACCGGCTGGTTCCTCATCTTCTTGGCTCGCTTCTTCTCCCGCGCCCCAGACATCTCCGGCGGGGCTGCTCCTACCAACAGTAGCAGAGGACCGAAGGGAGGGGTTGGCGGGCGGTGCAGCCGCGGCCCCCGGCACCAACCCCAACCCAGCGCTCACTCGCAGCGCGGCCTCCACCGGCACACGTGGACACACACGCCACCGCACAGCGCATGCGCACTGCAACAGCCCGACACGGAGGGACTACATTTCCCAGAAGCCCCCGGGGCGGCGGTGGGCGGGGTGGGTGCTGGCTGGACGCTGAGGGGAGGGAGGGCAGGACGGGCAGGCTCCAACACTCGCTTCAGCTTCACCGCCGGCTCCAGCTATGGCCTCGCTCGTGAAGAAAATAATCAGCACTACTAAGGCCCCTGCACTGGGTCCCTACAGGTAATGCCTTAGCTGAGAAAAACCTGAGAGTCTTTATAGATAGCAAGTTGACCATGAGCCGGCAGTGCGCTTGCGGCCAGTGCTTTCCTGGGGTGCATCGGGAAAAGTGTGGCCAGCCGGTCGAGGGAGGTGATCTTGTCCCTCTGCTCGGCCCTGGTGAGGCCACATCTGGAGTGTTTTTTCCAGTTTGAGTTGCTCAGTACAAGAAAGAGAAGGAACTACTAGAGAACATCAACAGAGGGGCGCGAAGATGATGAGGGGTTTGTAGCATCTCTTGTGAGGAGAGTCTGAGGAGCTGGGCCTGAGAAGAGAATAAGACTGAGAGGGGATCTCATCAACACCTATAAATGTTGTCATTTAAATAATTTATATTATTCCAAGGCAGCTGCCAAGAGTATAGTGCCAGACTCTTTTCAGCGGTGCCCACTGGTAGGTTAAGGAGCAATGGCCATATACTAAAAGAGAAGAAGTTTCACCTCAACATGAGGAAGAACTTCCTTACACTGAGGGTGACAGAGCCCTGGAACAGGCTGTTCAGGGAGTTTGTGGAGTTTCCCTTTCTGGAAACATCTGAAACCTACCCTGGATGTGTTCTTGTGTCATCTKCTCTAGGTGACCCTGCCTTGGAAGGGGAGTTGGACTGGATGATCTCTAGAGGTCCCTTCCAACCCTACCAATTCTGTGATTTTGTGAGAGGGAGGTCTCTCAGGAGACACAGGAGCAGGTTTTGCTGGTGGAGTTTTGGCAGGTCCCTGGGGGTCAGGCAGGCTTGGGGCTGAGGTGGGGGCAGGACCCCTGAGCAGGAGCAGTCCCAATACCCCTTTCCCCCAGTAGCCCCTGGGGACTCTGGAATCACAAAGCACAAGTGGGGCTGTGGTGCCATGGCAAACTGCAGCCCAACAAGGGGAGGGGGATGTACTTCAAAAAGTTAGTTTGGGTAAATAATTCTGAAATTAGTGGTAAGCAGTGAGTGGAAAAAAGCCCGAGAAAATTATTCTTCTCAATGAAAAGGTGCTTGGCTACAGAGAATYACGTTGTGTAGGGAAGCTAGAGAGTGCTGACTATGAAAGTGACGGGGAATGAAGACTGAGCCCAATCCAGGGTGAGTTTGGTTAAATGGAGARTTCAATGCCTAGGAATTGCAAATTCTTTCCTATTTTTAATAGTTATAAATGATTTTCAGTCTGAAAACTGCTGCAAAAATAGTAAGATTTTTACCATTTTCATAAGTACATTGTTGCAGCAGATCTGCATGTAATTACAATAAAAGAAAAATCAGTTTTAATTTGAGAAAGGTTCCTCTTTGTAATTTGGATGTGAAAAAGTGTCCAATCAGTATCATAGATTCTTATAGCTAAAGTACTGAAGGGTTTTTACCAGRACATTTTGTTAGAATTCTTCTGCATTCAGGCTTTGTTTTCACAACAGCATCTTAGTGCCTTCCAGGTGTATTTTTGTTTTGAGCTTTTTAAGCTTCAAACTGTGTTTCTTACAGGCATCMTAAAGATGGAAAAATACAAAGTGTAGAAGCAAAGAGACATGACATGAAGGTTAACCTCTGTAAACAATAAACTGTTGGTGGATTGCAGCCAGGGGCCTGTCATTGCTTKGCATCAGGAGAACATCTAAGACATGGGAAGGCAACAATTATTTGGCTGCCAACACACACTACTGCCCCAACTCTCCATTCCAAAATTTTGTGCTTTTTGGTAGTTCTTGATGAAATACTGCTTATTATATAGCTTGTTAAATGTATGACGGGTCTAACATCAATAAGTTTATCACTAACTTAGTTYATCAGATTTTAGTAAACTTGTCAAAGTCCAGAGAGCAGAAGTTGCATAAGAAATAACTGCCACATCTCTGCTGTGAAGTCGGTGCTTGGTAACACAGGAATGAGGGCTTAATATGGAATGAAGAATTGAGATATATGGGCTGCATTCCTGGTTCTGCTACAACCTTCAGTATGCATTTTGGTGACCTATTTTTACTGTATTTTTCATACCTTTCTATATCTAAAGTATTTGCCAGTACTTTGAGGTAAATAGATATATAAAAAGACACATAGCTGTGTTTGTGTATATATATCTCATTAATGTTTCTGACTTTTTAAAAGACACTGCAGAGATACTGCTCTTGTATTAATCCACAGTAATTTGTGCAATGAAGATCTGATTCGCTTTGCAGTCCTTGCTCCTATCGAGCATACTTCCTAACACCATCTCTGTGATGGACAATGTTGTTCTGAGGTCACAGTGTCTGTYCWGTTATGCATTTAGGTACACTGAAAYGTGAATGACTTTAGACACACATTCACATCTCTGCTSATTAATGAGTAGCTATGATTGCCCCCAGTTGTGAGGTGCATCTGCAGTTAAAGAATGATGGGGATTTRTGGARTTCAAGTTTCTCTTAACTTCACCCATGCATTTGAGTGGAATAGAACTGTACTCCTTGGCTGGTAAAGTGTTCCTAGTCTCAGTGAACGGAAGATTCCATTGGTAGAGCATTCCAAGAGAAGGAATTGAAGAGGAAAGAAGGGGACCCAATAAGGCWGCTGCAGATGTTGATCTGGCTGTGGTATCAGAAGGCTTCAGCCTATTTTTTTCCAAGTATTAATGATATAGGACTCTCTAAAGGTCTCTGTTGAGGTAAACATTTAATTGTGTCATTTGCTTTGTGATAAGCAGTACAAGACAATCTCTTCTACTGGAGAGCCCAAAACTTCTTGTTGCACAGTTCTTTGTGCTTCAAACAGAAACAGAAGATTGTGCTCCGAGGGCCTCAAACACAGTAGGAGTGCTAGGAAAGGAAATGAAAGAAGTCTGTGTGTATGTGCACTCATTTCTATCAACAAGACTGTCGACTAGAAAACTTTATTCACTGGTTTCTCTTCTTTGAATGGTGTAGTTTTATGATTTACTCCAGTTTTGTTAGTTGATAATAGAAAAAAATAATCCCCATTTAAGATAGTTTACCGTATCTGACAAAATACTGGCTATTTTTTCCCTTTATGAAATTACAGGAGGATGTAGGACATGGATAAAAGGAAATATGGGAATGATGGCACTGTTCAAACTACTAACCCTGGTCATTTCACTAAGTCCCTGAATTTGSCTAGTCTCCTGTGAGGTGAATAGATTAAGACAATCCAAGTCAATCTTAGTTGAAAGATGTACTAAAAATATTCTCTGAATGTGTTCCTCTTTTTCCATTGACATTAAAGGGAAGCCTAGCAAGGTGCCTAGCTCTAGTTTGTGTAGCTTAACAGACATTTTGAATGGTCAGAACAATGCGTTTTCTTGTGGAAGGGGAAGAGATATGAGAAATGTTGACATATCACGAAGATTTTCAAAAGAATTTTTCTATAATTCCTTCACAAAATATTTTTAATTAGTACCTGAGTAGAATTAAACTATGTCTCTTGCATTATATTTGATAGGTAGTTTAAAGCTTTGCTTTCAACTTTTAACCTCTTCATGGAAGAGACATTAACAATTGCAAACTCAACTTCAGCAAAAGCACACCTGCCATTTTTATATGTTTTTCAAATATCTTGAATTCTGCATTTTTCTGAATTAATCCAGCCAAGAAGTCACTCAGGTTATTTAGTGAGAGGAGAATGATTGTTCTGGGGATGGAGTGATCAAGATRTTTTGCTGACTGGCCAGATTCATGACTCAGGAATACTGCAAGAGAACCAGGGTGCAGGGCGTCTCCTCACAGCTGTAACTCATTGTCACTGTGGTGCCTGTTTGAGAAGAAAAATGTAAAATTTATTTTGACTTTTTCTTTTTTTCTTCATTGTTCTGCAGCTGAGATGTAGTTGAAAGGTATTGTCTGCTTCTCAAAATAGCATGSAATATTTATCTGGGCAGGTGMAAAAAMAGTTTATTTTCTCTGCCTTCCCTCTGTGCTATCTGCTGTGTGAATGTGTAGCTCAGTTTAGTGTTGTGTTGCTGTACCCATACCTTATGCCTTTGCAAGAAACAGAGTTTATTTCCTCAAAACCCAATGCACTTCCRTAGATGGTCTAATCCCAGATCTTCCAAAAGCATAAGCAGAGATTGAACGTATGACTGCATGTACAGACTTGTGTGTGCATAACCTCAGTCCTCTTTCTGATACATTAGAAGGTTCTGTGGAAAATTTGAGATGTGCTTTCAGATTTGAAATTTGAAATGTTTTTATGGGGAAATATTAAACCTGAAGTGTCACTTGTGTTTTCAGCCAAGCCGTGCTGGTGGACCGGACAATGTATATTGCGGGGCAGATAGGGCTGGAGCCTTCCACTGGGCAGCTTGTCTCTGGAGGGGCAAAGGAGGAAGCCAAGCAGGTAGGAAGTCTTCCAGCAATGAACTTGCAATGGAATTGGCATTAATTAAACATGGACTTTTGAGAAATTGAGGAAAATAGAAAACATGTTTCACATCCTCCAAACAAGAAAAAAGCAGGAGGAAGTCATTCCATATTGACTAATGCTGTCATTTTTCCACTCAAACAACCTGGAGATCAGGAGAGCAATCTGTTTCATGTAGGAAGGTGAGAAATAATCAGTGTTTGAAGCAAATGTTTACACCCCAATAAAATCCCTGGCTTGAGTCAGGGAAAGATTTATTTCCCCGGCAGCAGAGGTGGAGTGAGATAATAGGATAAGAGGTGGAGTGAGATAATAGGAGCTGCATCATGTATTTACATCTAATGAATGGCTGGTTTAATATTTATTAGTGCTCCCTTTTATTAATTTTTGTTTAGGTCAGTCTTTTTTTGATAATTGAGGTTTTGCTGGTTGAACTTACAGTAAAACATGGATTCCGCCAAGTCACAAGTCATATTTGTTTCAAGATTTTTGTTTCATTTTTCTTTAGGCCCTAAAAAACATGGGAGAAATCCTGAAAGCTGCAGGTTGTGACTATGGCAATGGTAAGTGCTGCTGTGACAATGGCAAATAGGTGGTTGCTTTTACCTGAATTAAAATGCAGAAAAAATTGTATTAATATTTTAATTGCAACTGGAGAAGCTCAGGTACAGACAGTGCTACAAGTGACTACAGACATTTTAAGTGTCCTAAGCTTTGCCCCAGGTAAAAGCAGGTTTGTATCTGTGGTGTTAATATTCTAGACACTTTAAACACTTTTTGGGTGGAGAACTTTAATGGTGGAGCCACGCCAGCATTAATGCTGAGTTAGGCAGTTCTGGATAAAAAATTCTAGCATCAACTATTTTCAGGGCTTCTATGATTTTTTTTTTTGGCAGCAGATATGAGCTACTGCCAGCACTTGGCTTACAACAGCTGTTTTAATTGACCTGCTTATCAGTTCAGTGCCACTTGGAAGAATGTGGCTTTTTCAGACTGTTGGGTTTTGCTTGACCTGGTTTTTGATGGTGTGTGGGCCACAAAGATGGCTGCTGTGAGAAGCTTCTGGGAGCTTCTACCATGTCCAGCAGAGCCAATCTCTGATGGCTCTGAAGATAATGGACATGCCACTGGCCAAGCCTGGGCCAATTAGAGAGATTTGTAATGCCTCTGTGATAGATTTAAGAAGAAGATCAAAACAGAGACAAAGGGAGTTTTCTTCAACCAGAGAAGGAAGAGGAGATGAGAACATGTGAGGAACAATATGGAGATGCCAAGGTCAGTGGAGAAGGAGCAGGAGGAGGAGAGGGACCCCACGATGATGGAGAGGAAGGACTCCTCTCCCTGAGYGGGGGAACAAACTGACCAAAACCCCCACACCCTGCTCCCTGTGTTGTTGTTTTCAAGGAGGGAGGGGTTTGGGGGAAAGARTGRTGTCTTAAGGGCTTTTTTTACTTTYCATTATTCTCCTCTGACTCTGTTAGTAATAAATTCACTTTTCAACTCCAAGTTGGGCCTGTTTTGCCCTTTGAAGTGTTTCCTCCTGGTTTCTTAACTCATGAACGCTTTGTTAATATTTTTTTTTCCCTCTCCACTGCCCAGTTGTAGTAAGAGAGAGTGAGTGGGTAGCTGTTGTGGGTGCCTGGCATTTGGCCAGCATCCAAACCACGACACAGACCTAGTCAGTAATGGCTTAATTCCTTAAAGTTTTTTTACTTACTAGCTGCTCAGAWTTTTTTAGGTGGTTCCCTAGGTTGTAGCTCGAATGGTCAATATCTGTTTGCAAAACTCTTCAAAATGTTTAGAATACTTGAGAGAAATGTATGGAATATAAGCAAGAAATGCACCAAAGTTTTTCAATTTTGTATGCAAGTCAGAGGTCTAAAATAACTGTAKTTATATAATTTCTAGTTGTGAAGACTACGGTTTTGATGGCAGACATGAAGGACTACAATGATATTAATGATGTTTACAAACAATGTAAGTAGATATTTTGCCTGTGTTTTACCCTTACGACTTGTGGAATGAATTAAGTTCATGGTAATCAAAGTGTTTGAATGACCTAGATGATGTAGTTCCATATACTTTGAAATTCCAGTAGAAATACAAAAAAAAAATTTTCAATTATCAGATAAAGCACAGCCTAATTTCACATGGATTTGCTTTCTACCATCCCACTAACTCACTGTCTTGTGAAGATCMATTCCTGCTACCCCTACAGGTTGATTTTCCATGCCTCTTTATCTTGCTTGATGCTCTGTTCTCCCTGATATAATTCTACTGTAAGCAGCCTTCAAATGCAGAATTTCAGATTTTGTAACTCCATTCCTTAAAAGTCTGTATCTTTGAACAATTTGAGGGTTATTGTTATGGGACAGAGCTCACTTTTTATACAAGGGTGAGCCATACTGGGCCATTTGAGGAAGAAAAAGAACAATGCTTGGTCAGCAAAACTGAATGTAGACTGAAATAAATGATTCCAATGAGCCATGTTGTGCAGTATAATTTGGGAGAATATGCGTAAGTTCCTTATTTATATAGTTTTTGCTTTTAATTAGGTAACAATATCTGGTCTTGTATGAAGTCTTACTGCTGAGCCACCAACAGTCTTCTGCTTGTCCAAAGGGGCTGAGGTGTGTGTGTGCTGAAGCAGGGTATAACCAGACCAGCTGGATGCTTAGTTACTTGTTGCCTCCAACCTGTAGTTTGAGGAAACAGTTGTTGCTGTTCTTTGATTATTACTGCATTATTATCTCAGTGCAGAACCCCAAAACTGCCATTATTAATAGTTTTGTGATAACTGTCACTAGTAAAACTTTAACTTAAGTATACAAATTCCTTGAAAGTGTTCAGTCAGGTTGGACAGGTCTTTGAGCAACCTGATCTAGKGAGAGATGTTCTTAGCCGTGGCATGGGGGTGAATTGGGCTATGTGATCTTTAAAGGTTCCTTCTAACCTAAACTATTCCAATATTCTATAAATTCAGCTCTTACATCTTTAGCAGTAACCTTCCCCATGCCTCACCCCGTTCTAGTATTGTGATTGCCAGGTCTGAGTGGGCATGGAGGAATAAGTCAAGGGCCTCTTTTTCTGCTGTTTTCCTGTGATATGAGTAAGGTTCGACTCCTGTTGACTTTATGTAAATCTGGGATTTTTGCTCATGACTCTTTTTGGCAGAGGCCTGTTTCTCTCTCCTGCTCTTTCTGTGAAAGACATCTCCCACTCCCTGGTGTTTCAAACTGTGTGATCACCATTCTGATCAGCCAAGTTGGTGTTATTAAGGCCCTGCAGTGTCAGCAGAGTGCAAGTTATCACTGGCCACTAGATCCCAACAGCAGCTGACTGCTTGGTGATGAATGGCTCACTCAGATWGAGAGCWGTCAGTGAACARGACAAAACAACAAAGGGGAAATGATAGCAGAGAAGTCTTGTACCCTTGAACCTGAAACTAATTGATTGGATTTTATACAGATTACTTTGAACTGTTTTATCAAGCAAAGTTTACTGATTGMTGGATGTTTCTGTTTAAATTACAGTTTTCAAGTCAAACTTCCCAGCCAGAGCAGCCTATCAAGTTGCTGCTTTGCCCAAAGTAAGTGTTGCTTTTCTGTCTAAAAAAAAACCCAGAATTTTCTGAAATACCTTGCTACTAAAGTATTCTGACAGCTTTTCTTATTCTGAAATAACTTAAATTGTAATTATTTTAATGAAGACTCTTAATTAGTTTTTTTTTCTGAGTATAACACTGTTATTCCTACATATCTGAATATGAGATACACATTTTTTTTATGGTGGAAGATGGATGCAACACTAGAAATAAGGGCWTATGATATTTGAGTAAGCATAAATTGAAATACCAAATTACTTAACATCGCTAAACCAGTAATACAACCRTCAGAAGTACAATCTCTCTCAAATGTCCATCTGTTCTTACAAGATTGTGTTGCTCATCCAATTGCTTCACAAAATAGATRTATTAAATTCTTAATATGTTTTTTCATTGTTTTGTCACAGGGRGCCAGAGTTGAGATTGAAGCTATTGCCATTCAGGGACCTCTCCAAGATGCTTCAGCCTGACTATAAGTAGAGACTGAGTATCCACAATGGCAGTTTTAGATTTAATTATTACTTCTCCCKTATATCCGATTTCTACAGTTGACTAACATCAGTTACATACAATTGAAATCASTAAACTCACCAAGGAAAGGTGCTTTCTTCAGGACTGGGGCCTTGGATTCTCACAAATAYGAGCTTACAGTGAGTTCTATGCTGSCAAACCSTGAAATGTGCCYGAGTYCTGCTAAAACCAGCTGAGCCAGACTGCAGGACCGGGCCTGCCCTTGTGGTGGTGATTGGATATTCAGSTATTAAGGTACATGCCTGGGTGAATGTATTAGAGTTATACTAYGGGTGATCTGGACATGGAACACTATACTGATTTGTAATAGTGGGGCTTTAGTAACAGTTTTAAATCAGAAAAAATGACAGAAATGAGAAAATGGAGCACAAATTGTGTAGCATATACATCTTCACTTCTGAGGAATTTTACTGTCTGAATTTTCTTAACCTCTTTCTTTACATAATAGATTACTGTTGGGACTCAGATTTTTTTCATATGTAAGCAATTGCTTAAGAAAGTTAACATTAATTATTTTAGAAAGAAGAAAATTATGCTTTTCTGAAATAAAGTAGTACCTTATAAATCAGATGAAAATTAATATCTACTGTAACTTTTTTCATAATCTTTTTCATAGCAATTCAACTTTGACTATGTTTTGATTAAAAAAAACCTGCAAAACCCAAAAATTGAAAACTGTTAATGTGAATAAAATATAACTGCAGCTGCAAAAAAAGTGCTTGTCTATCCTGAGAATAAACTTTTCATGATTATCCTTTGATACTCCATTTTAAACAATCTTCGTCTTGCTTATTCAGTAAGAAATCATTTGAACCAAAAGAATAGGCTTATTATCTACATCCTRAGAGCTAACAATTAAATTCTTCAGGACAGAAATCTTTCAGCTACCMTATCGTTACAGTTCTTGGCATTTTTTCTCTGCTATTAAGGTCAGAAGCATCAGTTTGATGGGATGATTAAGCAACTGGTAATGCTAGTATCTTATCCCATCCTTCTGTATTGATCTTCTATCAAGTACAAATGGATACTGTGTTTTTAAATATCTCTTTGAAAGTTCAACYACCTCATGGCAGAGTTGATTCCCTGTCTTCCCCACAGCCATATGACTGAGCACAGTATTGGTATACTCAGGCGGAAGTGAGCAGAAATTCTTTCCTGTTGTAGTCTGTCCACATCAACATCTTTGTTTTGCTGTCTTTTGTGAAGATGCCATCCAATTACATATGGATGCTACTGTCACTGTGTCTTCTCTGTCTTTGTGTAGAAGGTAAAAGTGGCTGTATACTGCAACTTGGGGAATTTGCCRTTTCAGTGGTGGAAACATGTACCTGCTTTATCAAGTGTCCTGCCAGAGTGAATCCCATAGGCTGCTCCTTCCAGGGGCAGCTATTTGTATGCCAGAGTRCTGTGAATGTGTCAGAAGCTCTTTCTAGTCCCATCTTGTGTGATCCCATTAGCTTCATATCCGTAAGCCACAGAAGTGGTACAATGCCAGGAGGAGAGGCCATAATGCTACTTTGCTACAGGTCAAATCACAAAACGTGGGTGCAGCTCTCCACCCATTCAACACCAGACTTCAGTTCTCCTGTGTGCACTTCTGTGCATAAAGCCTGTTGATGCTCYTCKTGCATACTTCTACCTGGTTAATGAYTTTCACATGGTRARCATGCAAGAACAATCCAATCCAATCTGGCAACATCATGTTAATGTCAATCTTTCGTGACACATACTGATGTTGCCTTGTCCCCCTTCATTCGATACCATGGCCACACTGCGTGAATCATCCTCCATCCTTGGATAAACTGTAAGTGTTGCACTTGGGGGTTCTTACCTTCCTGCTCAACAGCCATGCTTTCCAGCTCCTGTTACTTCAGCTGCACTATTGAGTATATTTTGTGCTTTTCATGCATGCCTGGTATCCTTTTAGCATACACCTGAAGAGCCATTGGAAAGTTGCGAGAACAGTTAGCCCTACWTACCCATCCTATTTCTGATGTGAAACAGCCCGTTCTGCTTTTCACTGAGCTTATAAATTATACCTTTATAGAAAAAAAAGGTTCATAATGAAGTTGTCACAGCAAATATGTGCAGATGTATGGATTTTTTTTAATAGTACTATCTTGCTTTCTTTGGGAGATACAAATTTTTATTAGAAGCAAGATAATGCTTTTGGTGTTTCAAACAGTGAACTTCCAAACAGCCTTTGAAAGATGCCTGACTTTTCTCTAAAACTTCCTATACATAAACTTTTATTAATTTTAGCTTGTGCTCTTGTTCTGTCTCCTTGGCTGCACTAATAATGTGTCTTATGCTCTACAGCTCTGACTCCGTAAGCAATCCCCTCCTAAGAAAAAACATGGTCAGACTTGTTAGGAAGGAGCTAGTACTAATGTGGCTATGACTTTCTAGGAAACACAAAGCACATGTTGCTTCACTTTGTCAATCAACAATAATTAAGAATAATGGAATTGAATTGAGTTACATTTAAACTTTTAAATGGAATTTAATTCCTAATTTAGATTACTGTGCTACAGCTTTGTTCACATATAATTACTTTGTTGGGATTTATTTCCTTGATTTGTAGAGATTTAGTTGAAGTTCACCATTAATCAGCTGATTTCAATAGTGTTGAACATGAGCTAAGTTCAGCCACAGTGGTTATCCCGTGTTACTGCTCACATTCATCCCCACTGCCTTCCTCACCTGTGCCCCGCAGCCTCTCTGCCCTCCTCGGACACAACACTAGGTGGCAGTTTCGATATTTTTTTGGCATGCTGACTTGTGCATTGGCAGGTGTAAGAGCGTGCTGTGTAGCACTCTGGGAGATTTCGGTGGTGGGAGCAGAGTGAATACACCATTGCTTTCCACATAGGGAACAGTGTGAGACTGAAGTGTGAATGAAACACCTGGAAAAAGTTGATGCCGGATGCAGCTAAATAGGCAGAATACATTCCTTCCATTAAGTGTTTTTATCAGTAAGCAGGTGTCGTTCTGCAAAAACTCAGGAACTGAAATTCTCTTTTAGYTTTATGAAGTGAAGACAGTTGTAGYTTTTAGACTACATATTTAAATCAAAGCCATTCAAGACATTTTCTTGATATGTATCCTTCTGGTTCAGGAAGTCCATAAAAACTGAAATGAACTCTTACTKAAGCTATAACATAGTAGTAGTCAAAAAATCAGCCTTCCACAGAGAAGTTTAAAACATTTATTTAAGCAGAATAATATTATTTTATTCTATTATTTAAAACAAAAAGGCTAACAYTCATAATTCTCCAGTATGAAAAGCCTATCTTGGTTTTTAATTTACAGACTACTGAGTACATGGACATTTAATAAATCCAGGTTTAAATAAAAGTTAAATATGGTTGCGTTTTTTTTCTTTGCTAGACTGAGCTGCATGCAAAATACAATGTTGCAATTCAGCTTGTGGCATCTTGGTTTCACCATTTAAAGTTTGTTTCTAGCATATGTAAAACAAAGCAAAACAGCAAAACAGCAAAACAGGTCTTTATGTGAAAGTAAAGCAATGTAAAAAGTACTGAAATGAGCATGTTCTACCAGATGTTTCTTTTAGCAAGAATCTCTCTTCTTCAAGTGATTCTCTACAGATTAAACAATGCAAAAAATAAATGTCAGTACCTAGTTTTAAYATAAATTTGTTCTCTTAAAGCACATAAACTACCCTAATCTGCTACCACCACTTGCTCTTTCTGCAGTGTTTATTTTACCTAAAAGCAGTTTCTCATTGGAAGAGCCAACCCCAGCCAGCCAATCAGCCATTTTCTGAGATCCTACAGCATACRTATGTGTCTGCACAGAGCTGACAGGGTGCAAATTTTACCTCTTCTAGAGCTGTGTTTATTGGTAATTAGGAAAAAAAATTCTACCAGAACTTTCTTGTAAGGTTGGAAATTAAGATTGTTCTTTCAAGTGTCCTGCCCAGCACTCCTGCAGTGAAGAATGGTTACTTTTGTCTTGGTTGAAGTTGAGGGCTGACGATTGTTTAGCTTTCGATAAAATACAAAACAATCACCAAAAATGCTTAACTGTGTTAAAAAAAAAGTTATGTTGCTTTAGATCTGGAGGTATATCCTGTACATACAACTGTTGGAGCATATCCTTTTCCCAGCCTTTAACACGAGAAAACACTTTGACAGACCAATTTCTGCTCCTTGCAACCTCTGTGTAGTCTGTTTGTAGAGGCAAATAACTGTAGGTACTTTATCGGTTTACCCACGTTACATACTTTGGTAGCTCCCAGACCATGAATACTAGATCCCAATGAAATCCACACAGTAGGGGTGTCTTATTTTTCAGGGCAGGGATGTTCATAATTTATCCAGCAGGCASATTGTGATAATTTAGGTGATTTAACTTTTTGTGTTTGTAACAGAGTACCAAGCATATTTCATCTTTAGGAAAGAAACAATAGCTTTCRTCTCTTGTGATTATAGAATATGTAAGGATGAAGATGATTAAGAATGCTACTGTTGAGTCACTGACTGGTTTATATTCYTCTTGTTTCCACTTGCATTTGCTTAATGACATGAAGAAGCTGAATGGTGAGATAAGAACATACATTCTTTTTCATGGCTTTTTCATGGAATGATTTGTGTATGGGGATAAAAAGTTAAACTACTTCTGTTTGAATTCTTAAGGCTCACTTTAATAACAAAAGATTTTTGTATAAGGACTAGAAGCTTGATTTTGCTTCTCTATTACAGAAGGGTAGAAAAACGAAAAAATAAATTAGAAGTGACATCAACCTAGCAAATATTCCACACCCCTCCCCCCAAAAAAAGTATGCATTTGGGTTCTAAAAGTTTATGTGTTACCTACCAGAAATTGACATTAAATGAAGCTGACAGGTTCATAAAAGTGCTGCTAAGCAGAAAACCTTAGATTCAGTGATTAATRCAAGTAGTATCAGTTTACACAAAAGGTTAATGGGCCAAGGATAGCAATCAGATTATTTAATACCAGAATGAACTTGAGTCAGACATGTACATGCAACTCAAAATTATCTCTTAGAAGGGATTTGTGTAATTTGCTGGTGACAGGTAAGATTTTTATTAAGTGCTTTTGTATAATAAAGCTAATAAAAGAGCAGTACTGTGCTGGCCATGTTTAGGTAACTGACCTTT